GGGGCGGAGGTGCAGGGCAGAGTGTGCCGGCGCGCGGGGGAGCTGCAGCGCGGGGCGCGTCTGGGACCCCTAGTCACGGCCGGAGCGCAGAGCCCGCTTTCGCCTGCCCAGAGCCTCCAGGCGGGGCCATCCCGGGTGGCGACACCCCAGGCGACCGGGCCGGCGAGCCTGGGCAGCCGCGGGGGAGTAGGGCACCCGCTCGCGCCGCTGCCCACCGAGAAAGACAGGACAGACTCCAGTGGCGGCGGTTCCCATCGGAAGGGTGGTGGCTGTCGCTGGGTCATGATATGGTTTTACTAATCGGGCGGGAATCCAAAGTGGACCTGTAGGAGACAAAACAGTTGCATACCCTCGTCCCCAGGTTAGTAATTCTACAGGTCCTTGCCAGACAGAGGGATTTTGAGGATCTTTATAGAGGATCTGTGGGCGAGGTCGGGTGTCAGAGGGGATAAAATGTCGTTCTGCAGCAGTGCGACCATCTTTGGCAACCGATAAAAAATTAAAAGTAAAGAGAGCTTTGGGAAGTCTTTCATTTTGGTCACATACTCTAGACCCATCATCTTCCCCCCTTTGTTTATTTAAGAGCTGTTTGAGAGTGTGATGGGCACGTTCAATTATGGCTTGCCCTTGAGGGTTATAAGGAATGCCAGTGGTATGAAGAATATCCCAAGTGGCACAAAATTGTTGAAATTTAGCAGGAGTATATGCAGGACCATTATCAGTTTTAATGGCTTGGGTGAAATGACGACAGGGATGAGTAGAACGTTCTCGAGAAAGGGCTGTAGCATAGAGAAACCCAGAATATATTAGCCCAGTGAAAGCCTTTACCACAGTGGGGACACTGTGCCTTTAAGAGAGCTAAAACAGCCCGACAGTCAGCATTAGCATTTTCACAGGCAAGCTGGAAACAAAGAACTTCAGCTGCTTGTTGATTGTCTACCTGTCAGGAAATGGCAGATTCAATTAAAAGCAGAAGTTGGGTAAGGGCTTCTTCTGACACCTTAAGCTTAGAGGCCTTTAACAATCCCAACAACTGGGTTTTGTGTTGATGCTGTTCAGGAGAAAGAGAATTCCCCATAGCAAGGAGGAATAGGAAAATGAAAGGAATGATAGGAAAGCTCCTGGCCTGAAGCCTGAAATCCCTTGGGAGCGGTCAGGAAAGACCTGCCGCTCTGGGGCTAAAGCAGCCTGATCTGAGAGCGTTCGGGAAAATTCCGCCCGCGGAAAAACCCCACCGCTCTCGGGCTCTGCCTTTGAACAGCCTGAAACAGACGTCCGATACTGACCACCTGAAGGGATTGAGTGCGAGGGGTCTATGGTTCCCTCACACAGGGCACCATCTGTCGCAGCGGCGACGGTTGTCGGGGTAGCGGAGACAATAACCAATGCCACAACTCTTACAGAGAAGTGGGGCGAGGAGGGTCACTCTGAGGAGTCGAACCCAGCTTCAGTCCCAGGAGTTTATTTTATAGTCAATACAGCAAACAGTGAAGCAAATAACAGAACAATGGGCTTTGGGTGAATAACAGTAAGTTTCGGGCGTCTCAACATGCTGTGCAGCATAGAGGCCTTTATACATCCATATTTTAATGTTACATCTCCCCACAGGTGGTGACTTCAGCCACTAGTTGGTAACTGCCGTTTGTTTCTCTTAATCTGTCTCAGCTGTTTGATCCATTTATCTTTCTATTTCTTCCCTGTAGGATATATATGTTTCCAAGGGAAACTAACAATCCCTTTACATTTGTAGCGTGGTTAATAGGGATTCATGGGCCCAACCCTTATAAAATTGCTTTTCTACATGGAATTCTAGTTGGTTCTATGTGTTCCCTAATTTATGGTTTATAATTTGTAAAAATATGCTGGGGCTGTGGTTTGGAATTTTGGTTTGACAGTAAGAACTGCAGAATTGTCACATTCTTTAATTATATACTCGTATGATTACGAGCTCAGAGAAAAGCTGAGTTAATAGCCTACATGCTGTTCCTGACAAAAATAAGAGAAAAAGACTATTATTTCCCTGTGGTGGTTCTTTAACTTGGACCCTCTTCGTGCAATAGTCTGTCCAGGAAGTGCCACTGAGTAGTTCCAGAGTTCGCGGTGTCTCTTCTCCACTCAAGGTGCTCAGGACTGATAATCGTCTAGAGATAACCCTGTCTTCAGAGTGGGTGCTTCTTACAACTCTTTCATATAATTGGAACATGGGAAATTAACTTCTCTGCTTTGTGGTTTGTTTTTTTAAATTTTTATACACGTGTACTATTACTATTGTCAGGTGATTAGATTTTTTTTTTAAATAAACTTCCAAATGTAAAAGTGTTTTTTTCTTAATCTCAGTATCTCATTTTCACCCAATTTAAATCAAATTTAGATTCTCATGGCTTGAAACTATTTTGATCCATTTTATGATACTGTTCTTCAACTACCATCTTGTAAAATGTAGCACAGTGAGACTAAACTAAGCTTTTTAAAGACTGATTTCTGAAGGGGGGCTATTTAATAGGTTCTGTTTCTCAGAATTTTTACTATTTCAGCCATATAGAGGCCATTCAAATGCCAGAAACTATATATAACAATACCTGAAAAAACAAACAGAAAAACCCAGTTGCCATGGAGTTGATTCTGACTCATGGTGACCCCATGTGTGTCAGAATAAAACTGTGCTCCCTAGGGTTTTCAGTGGTTGATTGGTCAGAAATAGATCTCCAGACCTTTGTTCTGAGGCACTTCTAGTTGGACTCAAACTGCCAACCTTTTGTTTAGTAGCCGAGCACATTAACGATTTGCATTACCCAGGGACTCCACCAATACCTAAAAAAGTCTGTTCCAGACTTTAAGTTGGCATAGTTTGTTGAGAATGAACAACTACTCTGAAATAAGAATTAAAAGTTTGTTATGTACAGCTGCTTAAGCATAAAAATAAACAACTGTTAATACTAACCCGTGTATTTTGTTACCAGCTTGCAATTTGTCTCACTGAAGATCTGGTGATATAACTCTTAATCAGTGTGGCATAGAGAATAGTTCTTTCAGAGTGATCTGAATGCTCTTGCCCTCATTCAAAGAGCTTCTTGCAGCATCTCACCTGCTCGTGCCCATGTTATTTGCACTGAGATGTTTACGTCTAACTTAAGGGGCTTTGTCTTAGTCTGGGCTTATACGCTTGCTCAAAATGCAGTGAGTCAATTTTCATATATTCTGGCTTTGAACACACCCACATTTTTTCTTTGTTTTGTTTATTACTGTAGTTTAAATGAGTTTACATTTCAAGTTAGCCTCCCATACAGAAATTTATATATACATTGTTATGGGACCCTCATTGCTCTCCCCATACTGTGACAGCACACTCCTCCTTTCCACCCCGATTCCCCATGTCCATTCAACCAGCTCCTAACTCTGTCTGACTTCCCATCTCACCTCCAGACAGGAGCTGCCTGTTTAGTCCCTTGTATCTACTTGAGCTAAGAGGCACACTCCTCACGAGTATCACTTTATGTCCCACAGTCCAGTCCAATCCCTGTCAGAAATTGTTATAGTTCTCTGCTGATTGAGAATCCAAGGGCCATACTTTCTCGGGTTCCTCCAGTCTCAGGCTGACCATTAAGGCTGGTGTTCTTACTAGAATTTGAGTTCTGCACCCCACCTTTCTCCTGCTCCATCCGGGACTCTCTGTTGTGTTCCCTTTCAGGGCGGTCATTGGTGGTAGCCGGGCACAAACCCACACTTTTATTTATTCGACCCTGATACTCCTCAGCAGCTTGTCCTATGCCAGAGCGAGTCTTTTGTAAAGCAGTCAATGAGCAAACATCCCCAGTTACTGGATGGCATTGCACCCTGCCAGCCAGCAGCTCAGTTTCAACAGTAGCGTCATCCCTGTCTGCACGGTTGTGTTTGCAATTAAATTAGAATTTTTTTTTATTCTTTACTTTGATTCTTTTATAAAAATAGGAAAACAAAAATGAAAGTGCTGATAAGATGCATTAGCTTTATAAAAATTAATACAATTGAGGAAATAGAATGGACTTTGTTAGGCATCTTGAGAGCAGCGGGTCTTTAACTTCGTTTGGACGTGCATTGGACCCAAGCCAATCTATTGTGTTCAGTTATGAAAGAAAAGAAGAAAAATAAGGCACAAGTATGATATGTTGGAGCTATATGGTCACAGGCTAGGCTTTAGAAGTTTTGTAATAGAGTTGAATGTTCTGAAATGAAACTCTTTTTTTTAAGATATAGCAATTGTTTAGCTCTCTCAGTTTGACTTTGAAATGTGTTTTCAGGAAACATTCAGCATGAAAGTCTTTGTTGTTGTTGAAATCAAACCAAAGCCGTTGCTGTGGAGTCGATTCCGACTCATAATGACCTATAGGACAGAGTAGAACTGCCCCAGAGGGTTTCCAGGGATCAGCTGGTGGATTAAACTGCTGACCTTTTGGTTAGCAGCCAAGCTCTTTAACCACTACGCCATTAGGTGCTGTCTTAGTTACCTAGTGCTGCTATAACAGAAACACCACAAGTGGATGGTTTTAACGAAGAGAAGTTTATTTCCTCACAGTTAAAGTAGGCTAAAAGTCCAAATACAGGGTGTCAGCTCCAGGGGAAGGCTTTTTCTCTCTGTCGGCCTTCTTTTCGGTGTTCCCCCGGACTAGGAGCTTCTCCGCGCAGGGACCCTAGTCCAAAGGACACGCTCTGCTCCCAGCACTGCTTTCTTGATGGTACGAGGTCCCCCTGTCTCACTGCTTACTTCTGTCTTTTATATCTCAAGAGATTGCCTCAGGACACAATCCAGTCTTGTAGATCAGGTCCTGCCTTACTAACACAACTGCCACCCAATCCTCCCTCATTAACATAATAGAGGCAGGTTTACAACATACAGGAAAATCACACAGTATCAGGAATCATGGCCTAGCCAAATCGATACACACATTTTTTGGGGGACATAATTCAAACCGTCACAGGTACCATCAAATCGATTCTGACTCATAGTGACCCCATGTGACAGGATAGAACTGCCTCATAGGGTTTCCTAGACTAATCTTTTCTCCCGAGGAGCCTCTGGGTGGGTTCAAACTGCCAACCTTTTGGTTAGCAGCCAAGAGCTTACATGTTTTATCACTTTGTTTCTGAGGAAGGCTTTGTTCTTCTTCCTCCACGCAGTGCTGACTGTCTGCTCTGCAGGGTAGACAGAATGTCTGCCCAGGGCTGTGGGGCTGCCCACCTCCCTGGTTGGCTCTGGCCACATTCTCGCTCTGACCTGGTGAGTTTGTGTGTGTGGTGGCAAAGGCAGAATGCTTTATGTAAATCCTTAGTGGTGGTGGTGTTACTTTTTAAAATTTTTTTTTTTTACAAAAAAGGATCATATCATTTACTTGGAAGTACATCATTGTCATCCCTCTCAGCCAGATAATATAATCCTAAATAACTTTAAAATAGGGGCATGGTGTTTTATAATGTGGACCTGCCATAATTCATTCAACCATTCCCAGATAGATGACTTTCAGTTTGTTTCTAGTTTTTATCACACTCCATGCTACGTGTAAGCATCTTTATATGTGTTATGATGCTTTTAATTTTTAAGCTATAGTCTCAGAAATGGAAATAATGGGACAAGCAATATGTATCTTTTAAAATTTAATAGGTATTGCCAACAACATTATTTTCTCAGAAATGTATAACAATTTTTACTCCTTCCAGAAATACAGGGGAAAACCCTTTATTTGTCACCTAAAATTCTTTCTAGTTGAAGAGGTGAAAAGGCATTTCATTGCTTTAATTTGCGTTTTCCTGACTACCAGTGAGCTTGAGCAACTTTTCACATAATTGTTCACCATTTGTGTTTCTTCTCTAAATTGCCTCTTTGTATTCTTTGCCCGTTTTTCTGCTGGATTGTTTTCTTATTGATTTGTAAGAACTCTTTGTATATAAGGAATATTTACTTTTTGGCATATGTGTTGTAGATATTTTTGTCCCAACCCTTTTATTTGTCTTTTGACTTTATGATATCTTTTACCATAAACTTTTTGAACATTTTTTAATGTTATCTCTGCTGTTTTTCTTTATGCTATATAGTTTCCCTCATTGGACAGTACTTTTTTATTTCCTGGTTTTTTAGTGTTCGTTGCTAATGTGAATGGGATTTTTTTCTTTTCCATTTCAACTAGTTATAGCTGACATCGAGAAAAGCTATTGATCTGTATATACTTATTTTGTTTCTAGACACCTTACTAAATTCTTTCCAGTTTTTAGACTGTTGGGTCTACCAGACATATAGTTACATCATCTCCAGACAGAGAATTTTACCCTTTTCAATACTTACTCCATTTATTTTTCTTCTATAGTATAATTAGAGCCTCTGTTAAAGTTATTAAACCTCTCTTATATGGGTAAAAATTATGTCCTGCTTGGAGTCTGAGCTGCAGATGGCTCCATCCCTGTGTTAGGCGCCATGACCCTCCTTGTGTTACATCATCCTGTTTCCTCTTCACAGCAGAAGCTGTGGGAATCAGAGGACTTCTCAGTCAGTATTGGACAGACTACTTCTTTCCCAACTAGAGCCTAAGCTTTTAAAGTTGGAGATCACGTCTCTTATTTTCTTTTCCTCACAGAACCTAGCAGAGAACTGGGCATATAATAAATACGTGTTAAACTGTCCAAACATGTTGAATTCGTTTCTATTCTCTCCTTCCAGTGTTCCCCCTACTTCTCCCTTGAAGCCAGCTTTGACTCTACCAAACTCCAGAGCATATGACCCAGGTACTCTCTGCCCAGAGGGTCCTTCTTCCTTGCCCAGACTGTACAATTTTGATTTGAACCTCTAGGCCGGTGGTTCTCAAACTTCATCAGTATCTGCATCAGCTGGTAGGCTTAAAACACAGATTGGAGGACCACTCTGAAAGTTTCCCATTCAGTAGGTCTGGGATGGGGCTTTAGAACTTGCATTTCTGACAAGTTCGGATGCTACTGGTCTAGGCTATACAATTTGAGAACCACTGCTCCAAACAATATTTGATGACCTCGTGGGTGCAAGGCTAAGAATTCTTTGCATGAATAAGCCAGTAATTGTCTAAATTCTGCTGGCGTAGCTAGGTCGCCTGTCTCACAGAGTTGCTTCACTTCCCTGCCCTTACCTGAGGAACATCTGCCCAGGTGCTTTCCCTCCGCCGTGAGTTTGTGCACCAGCAGTCACCGGGCATGTGTCAGAGGGCATACAATACTGATCTTTTACAAGAAGGATAGGAGAGTCTGAAATGAAAAGCATTTTTAGGCTTACTAAAAATTTCCTTTCCTTTCCACTCTCTCAGCCTCTGCGCTTAGATACCTTCATGAAAACAGGATCATCCATCGGGATCTAAAGCCAGAAAACATCGTCCTGCAGCAAGGAGAGCAGAGGGTGAGTCTCCCCTGGGACTAAGGACGTGCCGCGGGGCTGCTTTGGAGCGGCTCTGGTGGAGCAGGAATGCGCTGTGTGTTTGTGTGTGTTCCTTAAGTGAAGCTTTGATTCTCTGGTAGTGCTTTTTGACTTTGGATGAAATCCAGTGAGAAGTTCTTCCTTGCAGATTAAATGGATCACGTTGTTAACTGCCCAGGTTGCAGGAATCTGATAAGGGGAACGTTTGTCTCCTACCTCTGCCTTCTGCCCTTCTGACCTTTCTGACCAGCACTTGTTGGAAACAGACTGTTTGCCATTTGTTTCAGAGCCTCAATTCTTTTTTAATTAATAGACTTTTTTGTTGGAGTAGTTTCAGGTTTACAGAAAAATTGAACAGAAGGTACAGACTTCTCATACACCCTTCTCCTTTCCCCTCTCTCTGCCCACTCTCCCCTTTCCCCCAGTTTCCCCTATTAACATCTTGCATTGGTATGGTACATTTGTTACAACTAGTGAACCAATGCTGATCATTGTTATTAGCTAAAATCCATGGTATGCATTAGGGTCTACTCTTTGTACAGTTCTATGGGTGGAAGAGTTTCACTGCCCTGAAAATCCCCTGTGCTCCACCTATTCATTGCTTCTCTCCCCACTAGCCCCTGGCAACCACTGATCTTCTTACTGTCTCTATAGTTTTGCCTTTTCCAGAGTATATGGCTTTTTCAGACTGGCTTCTTTCCCTTAGCAGTATACATTTAAGGGTCCTTCCTGTCTTTGTGGCATGATAGCTTGTTTCTTTTTACTGCTGAATAATACTCCATTGTATGGATGTACCACAGTTTGTTTATCCATTCCAGAACCTCAACTATTTTTTTCCCCCAATTTTTTATTGGGCTTTAGGTGAAAGTTTACAGAACATATTAGTTTCCCATTCGATAGTTTGTACATAAAGTGTTCTGTGACATTGGTTGCGTTCCCCACAATGTCAGCACTCTCCCCATTTCTGCCCTGTGTTCCTCATTTCGTTTTGCCTGGATTTTCTACCCCTTCCTGCTTTCTCATCTTTGCTTTTGGGCAAATGTTATCCTTTTGATCTTGTGTAATTGATTGTTCTGAGGGACACATTCCTCTCAGGTGTTACTGTGTATTTTATGGGCCTGTCTGTTGTTTGGCTGAAAGGTGGTCTCTGGGAATGGCTTCAGTTCCAGATAAGGGTGTCTTAGGGCCATAGTCTTGGGGGTTCCTCCAGTCTCTGTCAGACCAGTAAGTCTGGTCTTTTTTTGTGTGTGTGAATTTGATTTTTTATTCTACATTTTTCTCCTTCTCTGTCTGGGACCCTCTGTCTTGATCCCAGTCAGAGCGGTTGGTGGTGGTAGCCAGGCACCATCTAGTTCTTCTGGTCTTGGGGTTGTGTAGGCTGTGGTTCATGTGGTCCATTAGTCCTTTGGACTGATTGCTTCCTTGAGTCTTTGGTTTTCTTTGCCCTCCTTTGCTCCGGACTAGAAGAAACCAATAGTGGTATCTTAGAGGGCCTCAAGTTTTGATGCTAAAATGGAAACTAGCTGTATGTTGGCTCTGGATGTGGCTGAGAAGAGGCATTTTGAGCTGGCATTGTCCAACCTGTAGTTTCCCTAGGGCTCTTTGTGAGCACATCTTCCCTGACCCTAAGTAGTGGCTTCTCTACTTAGGTGTGGTGTTAACTTCTCCATCAGATTTACACTATGGTCTTTCACCACATTGTTTGTTCAGCTGGGGTTGAAGAGCAAAGGCTCAGCAGAGCAGAGTGTAGTAGCTCAACTCATGGGTCACGTAATCCCACCGGGTACAGCTTCCATCAGCCTTCCAGGCCTGCCTGTGACTGTCACAGCACTCACCTTTGTTCTAATTCATGTTCATTCTTGCCAGTAAGTCTACGATTTGAGATTTAAAAGTATTTACTGTGAAGGGACTGGCCTGGTTGTTTGGCTTATAAAGTCCAGGTTTACCAATCTTGAGGGGTGACTCATGATCTATTAATTTTGGACTTCCTCTCAGTATTGGTGGTAGAGCAAGGGGGAACATGTCTAAGCATTTTTAGTGTTTTTTTTCCCTTTGCCCTAGATCTATCATGTTGAGGTTGTTTATTCTCATGTGTATTTGGTGGCTCTTGGGAACTTAGGATCTAATATCACCTAGGAATTCAGAAATATCCTCGTTAACAGCAAACAATCAAAATACTTGTAGAAGGACAGTGTATTTTCATAACCCTTAAATGTTCTGCCATGTCCTTTGTTTCAGTTAATACACAAAATTATTGACCTAGGATATGCCAAGGAGCTGGATCAGGGCAGCCTTTGTACTTCCTTTGTGGGGACCCTGCAATACCTGGTAAGAAATGGGATTTGCGTGTTTGCTTATCAGTTTGTCAGCTCTTTGGATGTTTCCTATATACGTAGGAACTGCTGCATAAAGTCAGACCCATCATCCATTTAAGTCAGCTTCTTTTGCCTGTGGAAGGATATGGTCATCTCCAATATCAAAAGGGCTAGTGTACCCTTACACAATCCCATAACCTCTCTGTGCTTCAGTATTTTACCTGGAAATAAAGGTTTAGACTAGATTCATTCTGGTCTGTTGAGGCCACAGTTTTCATGCAGTGTCTCAGGAGCTATTGAGGCTGAGCTCTGAGCTCCCCACTCTTTCTTTACATAATTTAGTCTGAATATTGGGGCTGTGCTTGAGTTCTTCATTCAAGAAATATGATTGAGTGCAGTCTATGTACCAGGCACTGTGTTAGGAGCCGGACACAGTGGTAAAGAAGACAGGCATGGCCTTGGCCTTTGGGAGCTTAATGTTTAGCAAGGAAGCAGGCATTACCCCAATACAGATAGCTAAGAAACTGCAACGGTGATACGTGCTATAAAGGAAAAGTGCCAGGTGCTGTAAGAATATATATTAGGAGGACCTAATCTAGTCTGGGACTCTTAAGGATGAATAGGTGAAAAGGAGTTGGAGGTGGGGCTGGGGAGAGGTAGTGGGATGGAGGAAGTTCCAGGCACTAGGATAGCAGAAAGTGTGTGTGGAACCTAGAGAACAGGAAGAGAGTATCTTGAGTTAATGCTGGAGAGAGGTTGGGACGGATTATTCAGGGCCTTCTTGGCCATGTTGAAGATTTTAGACTTTATCCTAAACCCTCTGGAGAGATATTGAACGGTTTTAAGTTAAAGGATCAGGTTCACCTGTTTGAAAGACCATTCTTGCTACAGTGTGGAAAAGGAATTGCACTGAATGAAAGTAGAGACAGGTAGTTCCCGACTTTCGGCAACTCTGTCGTAAGTCGTTTCTGATGTAACTCGGATACTTTTTTTTTTTTGGTTTTCATTATTATTGCCTTTTATTATCAGTATCTTTATAAATCTGATCTTTATTTGTCTTTGGGAGCTGGCATGAGAATGATAACATTAGCAAATTATGCACTACAGCATTGTATGTAGTATAGATTACTAACGATAATAAGAAAAAAAACCGAGGTATTCAAGTTACGTCAGTTCAGGTGTAAGCGTGGTTCATTGTAACTTGAATATGTCATAATTCGGGGACTACCTGTAGTGGGCAAGCTGGTTCAGAGCTGCTAGTAGCAGTGAGGATGTACAGAATATTAGATTCAAGCAATGCTTAGCTCTGAGCTTCTGTTAAGGGTGATGGAAAAATTGGCAACAGATAAAGGTGATGGTTGAACGACATGATGGACATAATTAATGATGCTAAATTGTACATGTGAAGATTGTTGCAATGGCAAATGTTTTATTCCATATGTACTTACCACAGTGAAAAAAAGAAGAAAAGTTAAGACACTGATGATGTGCTGTTGAAAACAGTGTTTTTCAAACCATGGGTCCTGACTTGGTATTGGAATGTGAAATCACAACCAGAATTAAAGAGAATAGAAAATATCACAGTGTATTGTTTATAGAAGAATAAATACTAGGACATGAAATTTTGTTTCAGTTGTTTAAAAAAGAAAACAATGCTATGGAAGACGTAAAAAAAAAAGTGCATAGCAGAGATTTCAGGAAGACTTGGTAATTGATTGCACGCAGGAGGTAACAACCAGTAAAATTTTGATTAAATAAAGGAGTCTGCAGTTAAAAAAAAAAAGTTGAAAGCCACTGGGCTAGATGAGTGTAAGCATCCTATCTAGTTCTTAAATTAAAAAAAGAAAGAAATTATTTGACATGTTTTTGAGTGCATTTAGATTTCCTGTCTCTTTACTACCAACTAGAGCAATGGGCTCCATCACTTTATCACCTGCTGTATGGAATAGAGGCTTCACAGAGTGGTGCCCCATGGGGGACCTTGGAATCCTCATCAGCTCAGCAGCTATTCAGTGCGGGGGTCTCTGCGTTCTGACCAGGATGCTGGATTGGGTTGTTCACTCACATGAGCTGAATTAACCCCTGTCCCTAACCAGACATGGAGACTGACCTTTCCATAAGTGTCACATCTCTGGCCAAACCATGCACATCCCTGTCTCCATGCCTTTACTCATGATAGTCCTTTCTCGAAGTCCTTCCTTTTGAGGCCAGGTCTGCTCCTCCCTGTGCTTTGTAGTCTTGCTCCGTCACCCCAGCTCTTTCTGCTTCGGCAGCAGTCATACATGTGGCTTTCTCCTGCTTGATCGTGAATATCCCATCCCATTGTACGACCACACGTTACTTGGCTCAGGAGACTCGGTCGGTGTGCCTATAGCATTTAATGCACGATTGTGCATTTAGTGTGCACAACCTGGTACCGTTTTCCTTTGTTGTATGTAGCGCACCTCATATTGCCTCATCCGTATGCAGCGCCTACAGCTGTGTTAGTTTTCAATAAGTGCTTGAAAATGCTGCAACCCTCACTTTAAGGGGAGAAAAATTAAAACAGAGAAGGATATATGGTGTACTCTGGTTTACCTAAAAATAACCCCTAGGGACCATGACTCCTTAGCCTGTCAGATTTAATGGGAGTCAGTAAGCTAGAGAAAAACATACTCCAGCTGGTCACCTCCTCACCCTTGAGTGGACATGCCAGTGTCCCCCAGGATGGAGCCAGGAGCATGTGGGGGCACAATTAGATGGGCTGGGAACCCCCTTCTGCAGCAGCTCCTCAGAGGAAGGTGCAGCTCAGGTGTGTTCCTGTGATACGCTGTTGCAGGCCCCGGAGCTGCTGGAGCAGCAGAAGTACACGGTGACGGTGGACTACTGGAGCTTCGGCACCCTGGCTTTTGAGTGCATCACGGGCTTCCGGCCTTTCCTCCCCAACTGGCAGCCTGTGCAGTGGTGAGTAAGAGACCAGGGCCCAGTACCCGGCCAGGAGGGCATCCAAAGGAAGGAGCATGTCCCTCTGTTTCATTCATCTTTCTTCACCTGTCCCGTTTCACTGGCCAGGCCTGAGGGATCTGTGGATTGTCTCCTCCACGAGGAAGGCTTATTGGGACCCAGCATATGGGCAGTCAGAGCACCAGCAACCTAGAAAAATAGAGTAATTATTAAGCATTAAGCTGGATTTTGACAACCTTAACATTTTACTTGAATATAATACTATATAAATGATATTTGGTCTGTTTCCAGTAGTAATAACAAGTGAGTGCATTTATGGGCTATTGTTTCAATGTCTGCATTGTATTGAAAATGCTGTGTATGAATAAACAGAAGTAAAAGATGTATGCACGTGACAATAAGGAAATATTTATGTGGAAATTTATTGTTATAAATTTTACTACACCTGAATATAAATATTGGCTTCAGAAACATAAGGAAGTGGTTTAAAATGAACACCTAATAAGTAATAATAGTAAAAAAAAAATTTCTAATAAAAAAACCAAAGGAACTGGAAAAACTTTGGAAGTAGAACAGTCAAACAAAACAGGCTTTAGGTTCTGAAATCTTTTGATAGCATGATGTTTTGAACATCTGAACTAGATTATGATTCTGCTAGCTGGATGTGTATTTCAGCCTTCTGTCTTATTAAAACACAAGTAGCAGCGGCCGTTAGAAAAACTGGGAGTAGAGGAAGGAACTTTTATATTTATTTTCTTTTTAAAACTGTGTGTGTGGAGCACTTTGCTTGTGACATTAACTCTGCAGCAGCTCTGAGGAGTAGGTATGTACCTTGTTTTATAGCAGCAGCTGAAACGTGCTAAGAAAGTTGTTCAAGATCAGTCTCTTTGAGGAGGTGGAATCTGGCTTAACATTTGCTTATTAAATACTAAAAAAAATTCAAAAAACCCGAAGGATGCAATTACAGTTTTCAGAATTACTCTCTATTCGTTAACTTTTGTTTTACTGGTTACAATAGTAATGCATTGTTTATTTTACATGTGTTAATCACTATAGGAATGCATAATTTAGAAATCAGCACTTTCCAGATCAGTTAGGCTTCATTCAGAGTTGTTTCTTGAGAGGCCACCTACTTCATTTAAATGATGCTACTGTTGCTCAAAACATTTTTTTAATTTAAATTTTATTTATTTATTTTTCATTGAGCATTAGTAAGTTCAGCTGGCTCAAAAATTCAAAAAGTATGAAAGAATATACAGTGAAAAGTCAGTGTATCATACCAGTCTCCCAGCCACTCAGTTTCCCTTCCCAAAGGCAACTGATATCATCGTTTTGGTATACTTCCAAGGATGTTTTATACATACATAAACAAATTGGCACATAATTATTTGTTCATTTATGTCCTCCCCTCCTTTTTTTGATTTATGGTGCTTTAGGTGATGTTTTCAGAGTAAACTAGTTTCTCATTAAACAGTTAATACACATATAGTTTCGTGAAATTGATTGCCAACCCCACGATGTCAACACTCTCCCCTTCTTGACCACAGGTTCCCCAGTTTCATTTGTCCAGCTTTCCTGTCCCCTCCTGCCTTCTCACCTTTGCTTTTGGGCTGGTGTTCCCATTTAGTCTCATATACATGGTTGAACTGCGTGTGTCATTGTTTGTTTTATAGGTCTATCTAATCTTTATCTGAAGGGTGAACTTCAGGAGTTACTTCAGTACTGAATTAAAAGGATGTCCGGGGATCGTACTCTTGGGGTTTCTTCAGTCTCTGTCAGACCAGTAAGTCTGGTCTTTGAATTTGAATTTTGTTCTACATTTTTCTCCAGCTCTGTCCGGGACTCTCTGTCGTGATCCTTGTCAGAGCAGTCGGTGGTGGTAGTGGGGCACCATCTAGTTGTGCTGGACTCAGTCTGGTGGAGGCTGTGAAAGTTGTGGTCCATTAGTCCTTTGGGTAATCTTTGCCTTTTATCTTTGGTTTTCTTCATGCTTCCTTGTTCCAGATGGAGTGGGACCAGTACACGTATCTTAGATAGCCACTCACAAGCTTTTAAGACCCCAACCCTACTCACCAAAGTAGGATGTAGAACATTTTTCTTATAAACTGTGTTATGCCAATTGAGCTAGATGTCCCCTGAGACCATGGTCCCCAACCCTCAGCCCAGTAACTCAGTCTCTCAGGACATTTGGGTTTGTACGTGAAGCTTCTGTGACTTTGCCCTGGTCAAGTTGTGCTGACGTCCCCAGTATTGTGTGCTGTCTTACCTTTACCAGAGTTACAACTTATCTACTCTCTAGTTAGTGTTTTTCTCTCCCCACCCCTCCCTTCCCTCGTAACCATCAAAGATCATTTCTATGTGTAAACCTTTTCATGAATTTTTATAATAGTGGTCTCATATAGTATTTGTCCTTCTGTGATTAACTTATTTCATGCAGCACAGTGCCCTCCAGATTCATCCATGTTGTGAGATGTTTCCCAGATTCATCATTGTTCTCTACTGTTGTGTAGTACTCCATTGTGTGTATGTACCATAGTTTGTTGTTTCCCCCCTTTTTACACCAGTGGTAACGTGATAGGAACTCTGTTCCACATGTGCTCTTAGAGCATATTTACACTCTTTGAGAATTCCTTCAGAGCCAGTTTACCTGCAACGAAAAAAAATGTGTTTCTTGAACCTAAGGAGCACTGCATAGTTTGATCACCCCTTGTTTCTACCAGATTCTCTTTGTTTTGTTTTTGAGTTTCGGAGAATATGGAAACAATAGAAAAACAAGAACCAACTATAGTCACACAACCTGGAAGCAACCACCATGATATTTTTGTGTGTCTCCAGTCTCTTCAGTGTGTGTGTTTTATACTTTTTACAAACAAAACCAAAAAAAAGGCTATACGTACTCTCAGTACCTGGGTTGCATAAACAGTTAGGCTGTAGGCTACTAACCGAAAGGTTGACATTTTGAACCCACCCAGCAGTGTCTTGGAAGAAAGCCCTGATGATCTGCTTCTGTAAAGATTACAGCTAAAAAATACCCTACAGAGCTCAGCACTACTCTGTAACACGTTGGGTTGTCATGAGTCACAATCCACTTGACAGCAACAGGTTTTTGTTTGGTTATACATACTCTCATATAATCTGCTTTTCAAACTTAATATTGAAAACATTTTTCCCTATTCATCTGGAACAATAGAGGAAGGAGAGTCAGGAATAGGAGGATATGGAATGTGTGGCTAATTGCCTCTGTGAAGAGCTGCCTCCTTTGCTATGAGACCAGCAGAACTGGATGGTGCCTGGCTACCATTACTGAACATTTTGATCAAAGATTCCATAGAATAATCCTGATCAAAAGGGGGAAAATGCAGACAAAATTTCAAATTCTCATAGACTCTGGACTTCCTGGAGCCACAAAGGTTGAATGAACCCCTGAAACTATTGCCCCGAGGTAATCTTTAAACCTTAAACCAAACCCCCTGAAGTCTTCTTAAAACCTAACAATAGTTTAGCTTAACTTGTAAAAAATGTCTGCTTAGAGCATTGTATTATTTTAAGAACTATCTATATGAAATCAAATTGACAACAGCAACTCGAAAGATTAGATAGGAACCTTAGAGGGCAGTGAATTTATGTTAATGAGGGAGGAACAATTCAGAAAAGGACGAGGGGAATGGTTACACAACTCAAAGAATGTAATCAGTGTCATTAAATGGTACATTGTAGAAACTGTTGAATTGGTGTATGTTTTGTTGTGTATATTCTCAATAACAACAACAAAATAAATAAAATCATGTTTTAAAAAAACCACTTTTCTATGTTATTATGTTTATCCACATTACGTTAATGGCTGTATTCCATTGAGTGGCTGTGCCATAGTTTATTTAACTTATCCCCATTATTGGAAGCATAAGTGGTTTATAATTTTTATTTCTTAAAATAACTCCAAGAATAACGTCTTTATAGGGAAATCCTTGTACATCCACAATTATTTCCTTAGGATAAATTCCTAGAAATGCAATTAACAGATCAGAAAGTACGCACATTTTAAAGGATTTTAATGTGTGCTAACAAGCTGCTCCCCCGAAAGGTTACCACACTGTCCCTTTCATCACACCACTGCCAACACTGGCTATTATAATTTTTCTAACTACCTTTCTGGAAGTAGTAAAAACATTAACTTTTTCAGAGGACAACTATTTACATCATGAGGGTATTTATTTGTAAGAATGAGGTGTAGCCTTTGAAATCAATTCCAGAATAGTAGTTTTATGCAATGGCAGTCGTTCAATCAGCATTTATGTACCAGACATTAGTAATGCAAAGATGAATAAGGCAAGGTCCCTGCCCTTGAGGTGACTGGTGAAATGGCAAAAGTATGCCCTCCTGTGGTGACTTTAAACTAGGTAATGCTCATTTAGCTACATTAAAAAAAAAAAAAGAACCCTTTGCCGTCAAGTCAATTCCAATTCATAGTGACCCTATAGGACAGAGTACAACTGCCCCATAGAGTTCCCAAGGAGCGCCTGGTGGATTCAAACTGCAGACCTTTTGGTTAGCAGCCGTAGCACTTAACCACTACGCCACCAGGGTTTCGTATAGCTCCATAGGTCTGGAATATTGAGGAGTTAGCTCATTAACTTGTAGTCACATCTTATCATGTATCCATCATAAAAATAGTTTTAAAAATTATTTACTCTTAAGTATACAGGGAATTATTGTATTTTTTCAGTTCAGATGTTGAACTTTTCCATTATTTATGACAAGGCAAGTTAACCCTTTCAAGACCCTATTATTTTCTGCATTGATTTTTTTGCTGATACCATGTGTTTTCATTAGTGGAAGCATGCTGAATTATTGAGTGTGTCTGAATTTTTGGTAGGTAGTATGGATTTTTTTCTTGCCCCTTTTTACAAGCGTGCCCTCCTGAAAGGATTAAAATCCATTAAAAGCGAAGAACCAGTGCTATTTGAAAATATATCCCTAATGGCTGAGCGTCTTTGTAGTCAGTCTGTTCTCTGCAGAATCAGCTTCCAGAACTTCCCTCATCAGGGCCGAAGGTCAGTTGACCACTTTCCAGCGAGCTTCTAGGAAACCCAACAAGGAGCTGCTTTGTGGGCTAGTTTGCCTATCTTGTCTGCTATTTAATGTCATAGGCAACTTTTTTCCTTTTCACTATCTGATCGCAGATGGCCGGTAATAGTAATTTCATGACAAATGCAATTTGGCCTTTATATTTCTATCATAAAGCTACTTTGAAATACATTTTAGTATTAGCCTAAGTAATAAGCATTTTATTTAACATATCCTTTTTTTTTTTTTTTTTAAATACTTCCCATTGACAGATTGTTTTTCTATTAGAAGATCATCCAATTTCTATCTAATTGACAAAGTCTTGGAGCGCCTGACTTAAACAACAGTCATAGTTAATGGCGAGAGCTGTAAACCACTGTCATCCACCAGCTCTTCTAGATTTCCCATGTGCTCCAGATAGGCCGTTTCACCCCTTGCCAATTAGATGTGTTTGGGGCTAAAGAATTTTTTATTTGAATTTCCTGAGTGCCATTGGAGAGGATGTATTTGAGTATTCAGACACAGTAGAAACAACACCAGAGTTCAGAGTTGAGGCTAATTCTGCCAATCTCTAGTTGTGTGATGTTGGGCAAATAACCTCGTCTTCATTCCCTTACCACTAAATAGGAGACTAAAATTAACATCTACCACGTAGAATTATCATAGCAAATAAGTGGATATTAAATTCAAGGCGCAATATTATAACTCAAGTATTTTGTTATCTATGAAGCATTATTCAAATCTAAGTTATCCTTGGCACCAAGAAGATTTGAAACTGATCAGATTAAAATTGTTTTTTCCTTCAGATACTATTTCAGATGCACCAAGAGGTTCACCAAATGGGGAAATGTAAAACTTCGTCTATCCTTATAGTATTTGTTGTTGTTGTATACCATTGAGTTGATTTTGACTCGGAGTGATCCCATGTGACAGTTAGAACTGCCCCATAGGGTTTTCTAGGCTGTAATCTTTATGGGAGCAGATCACCAGATATTTCTCCCACATCCTTAGAGGAAAGTATAAGTGTACATGCAGGTGTTTGCATATTTAATGTAAATGTGACATGTATCAGTAATTTTGGCTTGGAAGCCCTCATTTTAGCTTCTATCAAAACATGGGTGTTCTGTATTAGATAAGATGGCAGGTAGGAAAAATGGTAAGGAAAAACCAAGGATGAAATAAGGAGTCACCAGTACAGCCTGCAGAACTCCGGGTACAGGCTGGTTAATGATTGTACCAAAGACTGTTCTTCAAAGTCTCATTCAGGCAGCATTGCCCGTTCTTAAACTCTCAAAGAAGCAGTCCTCCCAGGATGCAAATGAGTGACCATTATTCCAAAAGAGGACATATTGACCTGGGATATAAGTCTCCTGTACAGCTGTAAAGTGGTATGTTGCAAATGTAAAATGGCTTTCCACCACTAAGTGATTTAAGGGTTACAATTAAGATTCCTCAGCACAGGAAGTAGTCATTCTGATTCCTGTCTGCAGGCATTCCAAAGTCCGGCAGAAGAGTGAGATGGACATCGTTGTCAGTGAAGACTTGAGCGGAGCAGTGAAGTTTTCAAGCTCGTTACCCTACCCCAATAATCTCAACAGGTAAGACACAATGGCATTACTTGGCTACATATTTTCATTCCTCTTTTAGAAATAGAAGGCTGAGGTGACATCCAATATCTTTTTAAACGGTGATCAGGATCTCATCCTGTGACTAAGAACTTGACATAGTTCATTTCAGTCTTAAGCTTAGGAATGGATTCCCATTCCTCATACCCATCTAGAAATCACCTTTTTTCCAACTCACATAACAATTTATCTGTACCTCTTATTACCCTGAGTAGCTTCTACCTTGTATTACATTCAGTTTTACATAGGGCTTATCTCTTCTTTTTGAGGGTAAGAAATTATACCTTATTTCTCTTTGCACTCCTGATGTGGCCTGATGCTGTGTCACAGTCAACAGATACACATTTGTGGTTTGATTGAACAGCATTACAATTTAGTCTTAGAGCCAGAATACAAACAGTTAAATAATAATACCAGAATCGGATAATACTACAAAAGAAAGCTGCAAGGCAGTTGCCCACAGTTGAATAGCGTAGATAATAATTACCATGAGTACTTAGAGGATGGGCAGACAGTTATTGTGGACTAGAGCTATGTGGAATGACTATTTGGAAGAGCTGAAACTTTTTGGAAGGGTCTGGAAGGTTGTACAGGACATGAATAGATGAAGAGGAAGGAGAAAGGAGGTTCAAAGGGGAAAGATCAGATTGAGCAAAGGCATGTCTGGGGAGATAGTGAGTAGCCCTTTTGGCCTGAGTGAAGGGTTTGGGTAGAGGAGTGGTGAGAGATGCTCTTGGAGTGCATACTGGGGGCAGGCTGTGCAGGGCCTTGAGGGTAAGGGGTTTGAACTTGGCCATGCAAACCCACTGAATACATTTGAGGGGACGGTTAGCAAGATCAGTCTGGCAGCTCGGGGCCTAGAGTGTGTGCGGGGATCATGTGGAGGCAGGGTAGACATACAAAGTGCGCTTAAAAAGGTTCACCATCGTTCTTACTCAGCCAGTTGGAGGTCAGTCTGCTGACCCAGAGGTTGGGAAATCCCTGACTTGTGGGGCTGTTTTAAGCAGGTCAAGAGTGAGGCAATAAGCAGATGAATAATTAAATTTTGGGGAAATACTTACTTTTTTTTCTTTCCGATTGACCCGTTTGCTCTGTCAATAATCATGTATTGGCTGCCGTCTGTGTGTCTTATGGTGAACCACATGGGAGGTTCACACTTTTAAACTCCCACATGAAGGTAACCTGAGATTGGCGTCGGAGGTGTCTCCCTACAGTCTGTTCCTCTGCTTTTACTGGCACAGTGTACTGGCACAGCGCCTGGAGAAGTGGCTGCAGCTGATGTTAATGTGGCACCCCCGGCAGAGGGGCACAGATCCAGTGTACGGGCCCAATGGCTGTTTCAAGGCCCTGGACGACATCTTAAACTTGAAGGTGAGCGTGGGGCCAAGTTAGCCCTGAGGCAGCAAGGTCAGGTCTCAGGTGGGACACAACAAACTCTTACGAGAAAGAAGTTCACAGGAAAAGGTGGTCATAGGCCAGCTGACCTAGCGGGGAAGCATAGGTTCCTGTAAGAGGACAGTACAGCAGTGCTGATTGACACGGTCTGTAGGGCTGTAGCTGTGGACTAACAGGAATATTGAAGACCAGAATAATGAGCCATGGCACCCTATTCCCTTCCTCAAGCTGGGTGCTTTGGGTGGGCCTGGGTAATGATGGGAGTAGCAGAGGATCTAGGCAAATAAAGGGACATCCCTGTTGTTGTTCCCGGAGCCCTGGTGGTGCAGTGGTTAAGAGCTCAGCTGCTAACCAAAAGATTGACCGTTCAAATCCACCAACTGCTCCTTGGAAACACTATGGGGCAGTTCTACTCTGTCCTGTAAGGTCACTATGAGTCGAAATCAACTGGACGGCAACAGGTTTTTCTGTTGTTGTTATTTCCATCCAGTTGATTCTGACTGATAGAGACCCTATAAGACAGAGTAAAACTGCTCCATAGGGCTTCCAAGGCTGTCATCTTTATGGGAGCAGATCGCCAGGTCTTTTCTCCCAAGGAGCAGCTGGCAGGTTTGAACTGCTGACCTTTTGGTTAGCAGCCGCATGCTTAACTGTTCCGCCACCAGGGCTCCTAATAAAGGGACATCTCTGTAAAGTTGGATTGTTTTCATTAACATTTGGGTTGTGTTGCAGCTGGTTCATATCTTGAACATGGTCACAGGCACCATTCACACCTACCCAGTGACAGAGGACGAGAGTCTGCAGAGCTTAAAGGCCAGAATCCAGCAAGACACGGGAATCCCAGAGGAGGACCAGGAGCTGCTGCAAGAAGCGGGTCTGGCATTGATCCCCGACAAGCCTGCCACGCAGTGTGTTTCAGATGGCAAGGTGAGCCCCTGGCTTCTTGCACACTGCCCAAAGTCTTTTTCCTGGCTTTGCCTCCAAGGAAACTAATCATGCTTTCAGATTTTAACACTCCTTTGTCAAGCAGTGAGTTAATCACAGTGTACCTTAATAGGATATGCTAATCGCTTCATGCTTGACTTGTTAACTTCCAGGCCACTTAGAGTGGCTGTCTTTTGCCTTTGTTGCCAAAACTATGCTTTATCCTTGTGAATCAATCAAAATTATTTATATACAGAACTATGATAGGCATCTCACTGACAACCAAAGCAATATAAGACATGGTCCCTGTCCAAAGACAGCTTATAAGCTAATTGTGGAGATGCGGTAACATATAAGGAACAATCATTGGATAAGGACATATTCAGTGAACTTCTAAATTACACAGTAAAGACAATCAGAGAATAAGATGGAGTATATAATAGTTGGAAATAAGGTATGTGTTCAGATAATAAAGAAACCGTGGTGGCTCAGTGGTTAAGCACTTGGCTGCTAACCAAAAGGCCGGCGGTTCGAACCCACCAGCCGCTTTGCAGGAGAAAGATGTGGCAGTCTGCTTCCGTAAAGATCACAGCCTTGGAAACCCTATAGGGCAGTTCTGCTGTCCTCTATGGTTGCTATGGGCTGGAATTGACTCAATGACAATGGGTTTTTGTTCAGATAATAAGTGTAAAAGAAGTAAGAAGTATGAGTGTAGGCTGGAGCCATGAAGAAAGACTTCACGGATGTTTAGTATTTACTGGCCCAAAGACTATGCTATCAGTGAAGAGTGGGAAATACCCTGACATCTCTTCATTGTCAGTTGGAAAGGGGAAGGTGTGGATCAAATGAGATCTCATTTTGTTCTTGTCTGTTTGCAGCTAAATGAGGGCCGCACATTGGACATGGATCTCGTTTTTCTCTTTGACAACAGTAAAGTCACCTATGAGATGAAGATTTCCCCTCGGCCTCAACCTGAAAGTGTCAGCTGTATCCGTAAGGCCATCACTGTGTTTATAAAACATAATCAGTTATAATGCAGGTGGGAGAGATGTGCCCCAGGGAAGGATCCACATCAGGGAAATGAGTTTACCCTGCCCTCAGGGCTGCCTTTCCTTAGGATAGACAAGAAGTGGCCTAGGCAAAAAACAGTGAAAGAAGCCTTCGCTTAATTTCAATCTTGTAGGTAGGACTTTAAACAGAGGACAGAGAGTACTGCCACTGAACTTAATTGGATGACCATTTTGTATATTTGTGGTTTTATTTATATTTAAATAATTAATAAACGCATAGGATTCCAAAAAAAATCAAAAAGTACAAAAGAATATCCACTGAAAAATAACTACCCTCTTTCACCAATTCCCCAGCCAGTGAGTTCTTCTTCCAGAGAAACGTCTATTATCAACTTCTTATGTATCCTTCCAGGAATATTCTATGCACTTATATATATGTAGTCTTTTTTTCCCCTAAACAAATGATAACATACAATACATACTGTTCTGTGCTGCCCTTTTCATCGTACAATATATTTTGGAGATTTTCCCCTATTGGTACATACAGAGCTGCCTAATTTTTTTTTTAACACTGATTAGTGTTCTATTGTATGAATGCCAGATTTCATTTCAATACATCGCCCACTTCCCTCTCCCCCCACACACACCTTGGAATAAACAGATCAGAGATCCAAAGTCTCAGAGATCTTCAGCTTATTGTTGAGGCTACATTTACATTTATAGTTATAACTTCATATAACTAAATTTTGGGAACAGAAGAGTCTCCATTGAAAATATATGGGATTGTGTACCTAATGTATGTCTCTGCATAGTTCATAAAATGTTTCTTCATATCAAATGAGCAGCTATTATTGACCACCTGGTACATACAAATGCTGTAACGGGGTACCAAAAAATGTATGAGACAGTCTTTATCGGGCAGCCAAGCATTAACATTGAAAAATCATATAATAGCATAGTAGTTACATAATTTTTGAAAATATAAAAGTACTAGCAATGTCGCAAGGAAGGACGTGGTAACTGTAGGCGAGTGAGTCTCTGAAAATTGCTTCTGTCTGTGTTTCCAGTTCAAGAGCCCAAGAAGAATCTCTCTTTCTTCCACCTGAGGAAGGTGTGGGGACAGGTCTGGCACAGTATCCAGACCCTGAAGGAAGATTGTAACCGGCTGCAGCAGGGACAGCGAGCTGCCATGTACGGTGCCAAACGTTTTTATAACTTAGTTTATTTAAAATTGCTTACTGGGCTCTGCCCCAGGAAGGTGGCTGAGCCAGGAGCTCAGAAACCACTGTTAGGAGAGACAAGAGGGAGACACTGGTTTGGACAGGCTGGCTGGGTTGAGGGAGGTCGTTGCAGAATTGACAAGGAGCGTGTGGTTAGCGCATGGAGGAGCAGTACAGAACGCAGGGTCGGGCTGGCTGAACCGAGGGCAGAAAAGGAATGTGGCGAAGCTTGTTGCAATTTGGGTTATTAAAACTCATGTAATTATTGTGCTGGGGGTTTACTCTTTTCCCAGCTTATGGCTAGTTTAGGTTATTGGCCCTTTGTGTAGCATTTTGTGTAATTCCAGTTTTGGTGCTCACACATTGCCGTGAGGTAGGAAATTGTCCTTGTGGTTATAATTGGGTGCCATTATTACTGTTACTATATTATTGGAGGAACCTGCAGTTGGCATTTGCGGGGATTTTGTCATTGTATGGAGGCTTGGTCGCATAGTGGTTAAGTGCTGGGCTGCTAACTGAAGAGTCAGCAGTTTGAACCCACCAGCTGCTCCGCGGAGAGAAAGATGTGGCAGTCTGCTTCTGCCAAGTTTTACAACCTTGGAAATGCCGTGGGGCAGTTCTCCTCTGTCCTGTAGTGTGCTATGGGTAGACAGCAACGAGTTTGGTTTGGTTTGGGCTTTGTTGTTATATAGGAGATGGAATTTGGATCCCCAGAATGCCCCAAGGTTCTGTTTCTTGTGGTCCCTGCAGGATGAATCTCCTCCGGAATAACAGCTGTCTGTCCAAGATGAAGAATTCCATGGCTTCCATGTCTCAGCAGCTCAAGGCCAAGTTGGATTTCTTTAAAACCAGCGTCCAGATTGACCTGGAGAAGTATAGTGAGCAAACTGAGTTTGGAATCAGTGAGTGTCGCTCTTTCCAGTGAGCTTGGAGAGACCATTCCTTTCTCTTCTCTGTTTTCTTTTCTTATAATCTGTTTGCTTGGTTTTGTTTTGATTTTATGGTGTTCTTGTTTTGTTTTTCATTTTATTTTTCCAAATTTTTTTTTCCAGCTTCAGATAAATTGCTGCTGGCTTGGAGGGAAATGGAACAGGCAGTGGAGCTCTGCGGGCGGGTAGGAGACTAATTTTAGGTTTATGTACTTACAGAGGGGCGAGGCTTCTTACTACCATTTTCCGTCTTCTCACCAAACACTGGGTAGACCTTGTATCTCAGAAATCAGGTTTTCCTCCTCATGCTGTTTGACCTTAACGAAGACTTGCTGGGAAGTGGCAAGAAGAGTAGCTAGTAAAGGGGGCTTCGTTGTGGCCAGATCAAGGAACGAGGGTGGACAGAGACGTTCCAGATTTACATAAGGAGCAAAATGTTAAGTGCCCTTCGGGGGAAGCCTAGACCCCTTCCTATCATAAAGGGCTTTGGATGAATGATCCACACCCTGTCTTGTCAAAGGTTTTTGCCTACTTTTGTTGGGAGTCTAAATCCATAGTGGGGGAAAAAAGTCTAGGCAGAAAGGACAGTGTAAATCAAATGTCACTGAAAAATGTTAATTATGAAGGCAAGGGGAAATAAGTGTGACTTAGTGAACCTCACAGAAATCGAAGACCCTGGGCTCTAGGTGTTTTTCTGGATTCTTTTACCATCTTCCTTTGTGAACTTGGGCAGGTTTACCTCTGTGTCTTAGTATCTGTTTCTAGAAATCGGTACTGATGGGTATATGCATGCTTAAAGATGAGTATTGTATAAATGATACCTTATTTAACCATAATGAGGGGTGAGTGCTCCACCCCATCTCAGCAGTCAGATATATAAATTATGAAATAGAGGAGTCCAGGCCTCCATACATGGGATGGCTTTGGAATAGACAGATTAAGAGAAGAGGAAGTAATGTGCATTGGGTATCTTCTATATGCCAGGTATCATGCCAGGTACTTTACATACTGTATCTTACTTAACCCCTATTAAGCCCTATTAGAAAGGAGCCCTGGTGGCACATTGGTTAAGCACTTGGCTGCTAACCAAAAGGTTGGCAGCTGCTCTGCGGGAGAAAGATGCGGAAGTCTGCTTCCATAAAGATTACAGCCTTGGAAACCCTGTGGGGCAGTTGTACCCTGTCCTATAGGGTCACTATGAGTCAGAATCGGCAGTGGGCATACTCTATTAGAAGCTTGTTTTATGGAAGAAGAATTTACAGCTCAAGGGTTAGGTAACTTGTCCAAGGGTCACATGACTAGAAAGTGGAGGGTGCAGGTTCAAACCCAGGTTATATGCTGCTAGCCAGTCAGCTAGAGAGTCTTCATGTTTTAACGGGTTTGGAGGGTTTTCCCCACAAATCTTGCATCTCAGAATGCTCTTACTGTGTCAGTTGACATTCACACAACTTTTTTATCAGGAAAATGAAGTGAAACATCTGGTGGAACGGATGATGGCACTGCAGACAGACATCGTGGACTTACAGAGGAGCCCAATGGGTCGGAAGCAGGGGGGAACACTGGATGACCTGTGAGTACCTGTGAGACCCTCCTTTCCTTAAGATTCTCTGTGATTGAGCCTTGGAGATGTTTGAGTTTTGATAATGAGGGAGAATGTTCCTATGTTCACCTATAATATCACCAGGAATAATAGTCTGTTCCCATCAAGAAAGACATATTGCAGTCTTGTTTCTGGAAATCACTCATTCTGCTGGCAGGAATTAGCAAACTGATGCTTCACATAGCTTCTTTGACATCCAATCTAGACAGAGCTGTCTCCTTGTATGTTTCAGAGAAGAGCAAGCCAGGGAGCTTTACAGGAGACTAAGGGAGAAACCAAGAGGTAAGTGAGGTTTTAGGATTGCCCTGGGTTCCACTTTATCTCATTTATGAGGATCGGGCTCTCTGCCAACTGTTTTGGGGGAGCTGTGCAACTCTTCTCCTCTTCCCAGACCAGCGAACTGATGGTGACAGTCAGGAGATGGTACGGCTGCTGCTCCAGGCAATCCAAGGCTTTGAGAAGAAAGTGCGAGTGATTTATAGTCAGCTCAGGTACAAGCCCCAGTTTCCTGCTCCAGGGTGGAATGTGGAGAAGCAGAAGGCTGTGTGTGAGGCCACTTTCCTCACCCTGCTCAGATTTGCCTAACTGCGTGAAGAAACTGGCTGACTGGAAATTTATAATTGGTAGGGATTATGTTCTCCTGGAGTCCCTGGGTGGCACAAACGGTTACCGTGCTTGGCTGCTAACCAAAAGGTTGGCGGTTTGCGTTCACGCACAGATGCCTTGGAAGTAAGGCCTGGTGATTTTCTTCTGAAAAATTAGCCATTGAAAACCCTCTGGAGCACAGTTCTACTTGACACACATGAGGTCACCGGGAGTTGGAATCAACTTGAAGGCATCTGGTTTGGTGTCTTTTGTTTTGTTTTTGGTATATTCTGCTTTCTCCAACTCAACTGCTATTGGAGTTTGTCATGTGTATTCTTCACAGTAAAACTGTAGTTTGCAAGCAGAAGGCTCTGGAATTGTTGCCCAAGGTGGAAGAGGTGGTCAGTTTAATGAATGAGGATGAGAAGACTGTGGTTCGGCTTCAGGAGAAGCGACAGAAGGAGCTCTGGAATCTCCTGAAGATCGCTTGTGTGAGTAGCCCCTTCATCAGGCCCAAAGTCCTTGGCCTGCAGCCTCTGTGGTCCTTTCCACATCTGCCCTAATGTCATCACCTTATAGGACAGAACCACGAAGCCAATGGCAGACCATCCAGCTGCTGCTGCTGCTGCTGCTCATTTTTCACTTCTCTCCTCCGTGACTTAGGGCGAAGGGCAGAGTTAGTCAGGGAGATCAGAAGAAGACCTGTACCACTTATTTCTGTTTACACATGTCAGCATGACCTGATTGATCCTCGTCTGTGTCTGTGTTGCTCCTAGTATTGTAATCCATACTTTCCATACACGCCATCTAAATATAGCTGTGAGTCCATTGAAGGTTGCTCAGGGAGAAAATGTAAAGCAAAAAGAGAGCCAAGGACAGAGAAAGAAGAGCCAGGTAAAAAGGATGAGCAGAGTTGATGGGAAGAGTGACCCCATTGTCAGAACTGCAGAAAGGTTGAAGATGGTGAAGAGAGCAGTCTGGTCATTGAGAGTCCCTAAGAACAGTTTCAATGCTATTGTGGCAGTGGATGCCAGGATGCAAAGAGGGATGGATGGCAGGGAGTATGGATGACTGTTCTGAGAATCTTGGACACAAAGGAAAGGAGAATTGCTTATAATGGAAGGAGGATACAGGGATGACTTGAGCTTATTTGTAGGCTAAGCAAAAGCACACAGTGTACCAGGAGAGATTAATAACATCAAATTGAAAGGAGACGATTGATGAGCATGGTCCCAAGAACGAAGGAGAAGTTAGGACCAGGAACATAAGCAGAAGGATTTGTCTTGGGAAGGAGCGAGTGACATTTTCTCCTGTATGAAAGGAGGAAAAGGAAATAAGAGAGATGAAAGGTAGAGAAGATTTAAGAAGAGAGGAAGATTGACGTATTCACAGATAATGGCCTGTTCTTCCATCTGCATTCATTCAACATTTATTGAGTGCTGACTCGTGTGTCCAACACTGTGATGAAGGCTGGAGATCAAGGGGGTCACAGGGGTTGCGGAGGAGGCATGGCACCTGCCCTAGAGAGCTTGTAACCTGGCTGAGGGGCACAGACGAGGAAACGAGTGATAACAGTTTAGGGCAGGAAATACTGTAAAGCAGGTATTGTAAGCATGAGTTGTGGTCTGAGTGAGGAGGAACACCTGCTTCCATATTAGAGGTGAGGGAACAACAGGAAGTGTCCACAGTGGGGTGATGTTTCCACTGAAGAGAGAGTAGGAGTTAGCTAGGTGGATACATGGGAGATGAAAACATTCCAGGACGAAGGTATTGTTTTATCAATGGGAGGGAGGCATGAAAGAGTATGGTGTGTTCTGTTGTTGTTCACGGGATGAAATTGGAGAGGCAAGCAAGGGCTGGCATATATAGGCTTTATTTTGAAGGCTAGAGGAAACGTGGCAGGATTTGTTTTTCTCCTTTCACACTGAAGGAAGTTAAGTAGGAGAGTGATAAGATCATATTTGAGTTTTAGAGATTTACTGTGATGGCAGCATGGAGAATGGATTTGACACTTGGGCAGGCCCACACTGAGAGTGAAGGACCACTCAGTGGGTAGCCCCTGTGGTGCACAAGACAGTGGGGAACTGTGAGGGGGATTCAGCTAACTGTAAGGGAGCTAGACAGCACAGGATAAGATCTTCTCCTGCCAACTTCGGGGGCCCAGGGCAGAAGGGAGGAGGTGGATGACTGAGTCTCCCCACAGGTGACGATTGGTAGGGAATGCACAGCAGAAGGGTGAGGAACGGGGCATAGCTGGGTGCTTGAGACTGGCTGGTCGAAGCGTGGACCGTGGTTCAGCTGGAGGAGGAGGCAGGAGGGGTTCCGGAGGCTGAGAAAACTAGGAGAGGTTGAAGAAGTGCAGGCCTCAGTGAGTACAGAGAGCAGGGCCAGTGAGAGAGGAGTCTGTGAGGGGACAGACAAGAGTGTGACTGGAGAACTGGGGTGGAGGCGGTTTTCGGTGATGAGACGGTTGGCGGTCCAGGTGTGTGTACGGGCTGCAGATGTGGAGTGCCGGTGAAAGTCGCTGGAGATGAAAGTAGGGACTGTCGGTTTAAAATCTGGGCTTGGAGGGTGAGTGAGTGCAGCACCAGTCCAGGAGTCAGTGGTGCTACAGATGGTGTGATTCACAGAAAGTCGTTTATAACCTTTCTTGTGCGTCTCTCAGCCTTCCACTTGGAAAACAGTAAAAACATCTTCCTTTTATTTCCTTGTAAGAGTATATTGAGGAACAAAATGAATGAAATAAAGGCTATGGTATAAGCACTCAGATCTCCCTGTATTTAGAATTTGTTCTCAAAAAGTATACCTATAGATAGAGAAACACTTTCTAAGCTGGCATGCCAAGTGTCGGCGGTTGTCACTGATAGAGATGTTGACTGATCTTTTCTAGAAGAATAGCTTAGTGTCTTGCAGCCAGATGACTCATGAGCAAATACAGTGGTATGAATGCAAAATTTGAATCATCTCTTTGCTCCAAAATTTTGATGACTTTCTTTTTGGTTTTGTCATTCAGAGCAAGGTACGTGGTCCTGTCAGTGGAAGCCCAGATAGCATGAATGCCTCTCGTCTTAGTCACCCTGGTCAGCTGATGACTCAGCCTGCCACTGCCCCCGACGGCTTAGCTGAGTCAGCCAAGAAAAGGTAAGTCAAGGTTAATAGCGCCAAATGCCATACAGGCAGTCCCTGAGTTACGAACGTCCGACTTAGGTGCAACCCGAGTTAGGAGCCAACCCCTGTAAAACCTATTATATTAAAAATTCGAGGTCCGTACAGTGGTTCGTAATAACAAATGGGCACTTCTTTTTGACATACATCAAAATATTATTATTATTACTGTCTTATTATGTTAAAGCTATTTTACCTTATGTGAAAGTGTTTCTTTAATGTTTTTTCTGCATAGAAAGGTAAACTGTATACTACATACTAAGACAAACCTTTAACTGACGGTAGATACGAGCTGTACCTAACTGTTCCAACTTACATACAAATCTGAATTAAAGACAGACTTAGGAACGGAACTTGTTCGTAATCTGGAGACTGCCTGTATTTAAGGGTGCATCACAGAGTGCTGGTCGTGGAAATGCATGTATATCATTGATAAACAGACCATTTCATCTGTTAGATTATTTTGTGCATATTTTCCTTTGTTATTTATGCTAGGGACTGTGGGGACAAAAGTGGTGTATATATTTTGCTCATATAGTCCCTTATTTTAACTTGCTAACTAAACAAGTTACTTGTTCAGCATTGCATTGCTAACTGTTAAATAAGAAGATTGAAAGTGCTAGTCAGTCACATGCTATGATAGTCCAGCCATCATTTTCTTTTCTTTACTAGCAGATTCCCTTCAAGTAGTGCCCTGTTAATCCCATCTGAGTCACCTCTCACCCTGCCACCTCTTTAAGTTACCAAGTTACCATTTTTCCACCCATTGCCTCCCATTCATCCTGTCCTTTCCCCTCCTATTGCCCAGACCACTGTGACAGAGGTGGTGAACAGAACGATACAGCCCTTTCCTGACAAGGCTTTCTGCCTCCCTGCTTCCAGTCTGTTACTGCCTCCAACCCGGCACAGGTCAAGTTAATCTTCACAAAATACCATTTTGATCAGATTAGTCTTTGGTAACTAATAATGTCTTCCTAATCCCTATAGGATCAAGTCTAAACTTTTTCCGGCACTTGCAGCCTTCTCAATGTGGCTCTCCAAGCTGAGCCCCCTCCCACCAATCTCCTACAAACTCCTTGCTCTAGCCCTGTGGTTCTTCAGTTTTTTTAATAATTGTATTTATTTTGTTATTTTTATTGAGAATATACACAACAAAACATAGACCAAGTGAACAGTTTCTACATGTACCATTTAATGACATTGATTACATTCGAGTTGTGTAATGATTCTCACCCTCTTTTTCTGAGTTGTTCCTCCACCATTAACATAAATTCACTGTCCTCTGAGGTTCCCTTCTGATCTTTCGAGTTGCTGTTGTGAATTTGATCCCATATAGGTAGTTCTTAATGCCCAAGGCAGACAGTATTTACTAGTTAAACTAAACTGTTGTTTGGTTTTAAGAGGACTTTAGGGGATATTTTTTGTTTAAGGTTTAAAGATTATCTCAAGACAGTAGTTTCAGGGGTTCAGCCAACCTTCACGGCTCCAGGAAGTCTGGAGTCCATGAGAATTTGAAATTCTGTTCTGCATTTTCCCCCTTCGGATCAGGATTCTTCTATGGAATCTTTGATCAAACTATTCAGTAACGGAAGCCAGGCAACATCTGGTTCTTCTGGTCTCATGGTAAAGGAGGCAGTTGCTCATGGAGGCAATTAGCCACACATTCCATATCCTCCTCCTATTCCTGACTCTCCTTCCTCCTCTGTGGTTCCATGCAAATAGAGACCAGTCATTGTGCCTTGGATGGCCGCTTGCAAGCTTTTAAGACCCCAGGCACTACACATAAAACTAGGAGGTAGAACAGAATCACTAAACATTATATTAGGCCAATTAATTGGGATGTCCCATGAAATCATGACCCTAAACCTCCAAGTCAAGAAATCAAATCCCGTGAAGTTTTTCGTTGTACATAGCCCAGTCGTTCTCCAAGTCTGATCCCAGACACAGCAGCAGCAACATCATCTGGTACTTCCTAGAAATGAAAATTCTCAGGCAAGACGTACTGGATCAGAAGCTTAGGGGTAGGCCCAGCAATCTGTGTTTTAACAACCCCTGTGGTGATTCTGATGCGTACTGACTCCTCAGATTCTGCTTTACAAAACGTAATGGTCTTCCCAGGAGCCCTGGTGGCACAACAGTTAAGCACTTGGCTGCTAACCGAAAGGTTGGCAGTTCGAACCCACTCAACGGCTCTGCGAAAGAAAGACCTGGCAATCTGCTCCCATAAAGAAAATTTTATGGGGAAGTTTTACTCTGTCACATGGGATCGCTAGCCAGCATCTAACGACAACATCCCATCTACAGTGCACATCTGCTTCGCCCGCTTCCGACGCTTCTCCATGGCCCTGACCTCCATGCCTGTGGCATTTTTTTGTTTCTAGTTCAGTCACATAAGCATTTATTCAGCACCTTCTATGTGCCAAGCCCCAGGCACTAGACCTGGTTAAGTCTAGTTCCTGTAGGTAAAGCCATAGACTAAGTCAACTAATGATTGCCTAGGGCATGGGGGAGGACGAATGGGAAGTGACTGCTAAGGGGTACAAGGTTCCTTTTTGGGGTGATGAAAATGTTCTAAACCTAGATTATGGTGATGGTCGCACACCTCTGTAAATACTAAAACCATTGAATTTATACTTGAAATGGGTGAACTTAATAGTATGTAAAATGTATCTCAGTAAAGCTATTTAAAAAATCCAGTTTCTGTCCTTGAGAAACTTGTAACCTGTACCCTTTCGGTACTTAATCACACAGGACCTTAGATTGTTAATTATCACCCCAACCTACTGTGAGCTCTTGGAGGAGAGTAACCAGGCCATGCCTCTTATGTTGCCCTTTGGAGCTGGCACAGAGCCTTTAATCTGGCTCAGGGCCCCTTAGATGAGGCCAAGCAAAAAGGTGCTTTGTAGTCCTTCCATCAGAGCAGAGCATGTTGCAGGATAAGATGAATTCCAGGTCACTGTCTTCCATATTTGGCATACTGTCTCCAGTGATATTCCCAAAGCTCCAAAAGAGTGGTCCTTAGAGCTGAGGTTAGGAGCGGGCAGTGGGTGGTTTATTACACTCTTCCCTTTCTTTCTGTGGCCTATTCCCGGTAGGAAGCATGCAGTATACATAACCAAACATACATCCGTTCACAATTTCTACGTGAACAGTTTGATTACACTGGTTACAGTTTGATAACACTCCACCTTGTGTCACCGTTCTATCTCTGCCCATATTGTTTCATCACCATTAATTTACACTGTCTGCTGCTTACAGTTCTCTTCTGTGCTTTAGATTGACTCTCGTCAGTTTACGCTCATATAGATAATTCTTTATAAGAGCGCTGTGCTGCAGGCAAACAGTCCTTAGTAATTGGGCTGAACTGTTATTTAGTTTAGCAGTGACTTCATGGGATAGTTTCAGTACAAAGTTTACAGATTATTTCCAGGCATTAGATTCAGGGGTTCCCCCAGTCTCAGTGGATCCAGTAAGTCGAAAGCATGCATATTTCTTATCTTAAAAAAGAGAGTTTGGATTAAATGAAACCAATTCCCAGAACTTGTTTTTTCAGCAGATCTCAAGGAATTATGGGAACCTGGTGAATTGCTTGGTCTATTTTTTTTTTTCCCCCACATTTTAAAAATTGGAAAGCAGATGATTTGGGGATGTTTATCTTTAGGTTTTGGCAGTTTGGAGAGAATTAAATTGAGCTGTATGGTTCAGTCAGAAAGAGTTAGTTTACTTTTTTTTATCGAAGATATTTATTTGCTTTTTCACGTTTTGAACAGAAATGCTCGTGACTGGATTTGAGCTTCTGAAAAGTGCTTAACGAGATGAGTGAAATCACACAGGATCAAAATAGTTGTTACTTTTTTTTTTAATGTTGTCGAAAGTTCTTCAGTATATTTTTAAACAGTAGTATTAGTTCTGATAAAATAATAATGACTGCTTTCTAATAATGTGATTGTTTTCTTTAGTGAAGAACTGGTGGCTGAAGCACATACTCTCTGCACCCGGCTAGAAAATGCAATGCAAGACACCATGAAAACGCAGGACCAGAGTTTTATGGTAACAGCCCACATTTATCCCAGCTATTCTACCGCAAAAGAAAATGGAAAGGCAGTTCAGTGTTACCCTTGATCACTATACACTTAGGATTTTCCATTGCATATTTACTATCCATAATAATAATAATGGCTACCATTTACTGAGTACCTACCTGTAAGTACTTTATGTATATTATCTCAGTATAGCACATAAGAAGGTATCATTATTATCAGAAGGCCATCTCCCTCTGCAACTTGGTACCATCACTGAGTTCCCACGTGTGCTGGGTACTGTGCTGGACTCTGGTGATCAGTCCGGAACCTGTCATGGCCCCGCCCCTCAGGGACTCAGAGCTTAGCAGTAGGTAGTACTACTTATGCAGAGGCAAATCTGAAGGAAAAGTAGTCAAGATACGAGTATATTAAGATAAAGTTTAATTTGCTGAGATGATCCTGAATGGTTCCCTTAGATCTTTAAGTGGTCTTTTCCTGCTAATATAATCGTGTGCCAAATTCTTATCCTAATTTCTAAAGTTTTCACAAGAGTCAGAGGTGATGGATACCACTGCTAATTGCAGTCGCCGCTGATTTATTCAAGTGTCCTTCTCCAGTTTGTGGATTTTCTATATCTCTTCCTGATTCTCTTCTTCCTCCTAGCACTATATATTTTGATCGTTTCACTGCTTATTTGTACTTCTGCCAGAGGGGAAGAAAAAAAGAAAGGACAAATGGTTTCACCAGGCTGTTTCACCTGGTGAGGTTGGAAATTGATAGCTAAGATTAGCTCTTGGTACCACTTACCCACAGTGAGCATAAAAAGTGCTATGGCTACAGGATGTATTAAAATTGGTTTTTTTTCAGCTACCATAGTCACAGAATCTCAGGGACTTCTGAGCCAGTCCAGAGAAAATGTGTAGCTTTAGTTCAAGGGTGCACTATAATAAGGAGACTATTATTAATAAGATGTCTTAAATTTACTTCTAAATTGGACTGGTTGCCTCCCTAAATGGAAAAACAACCTGAGATGGTGGTTGCTGTATTTTTAACCTGCCTGTTGACTTCCAGACTCTGGACTGGAGCTGGTTACAAGCAGAAGAAGAAGAGCAGAATAGCCTGGAGCAGGCCTCGTGACTGTGTGGGTGGCCTTGACCACCTGATGTGGGGCTCCCTGGCCTGAGGCTCTCGCGCAGTGGCCCCTGCTACAGTGATGTCCCGGAAATCTTCGGCCCCCAGATGGGAATCCGCTGACTTCCCCTAGTAGTTGTGACACTCACCCTGAACAAAGGGTGTGGCCCTCAGTGACAATGCTGGACACCTTGTCTGCACACCTGGAAGGCCTCCATCGCAGAGACCCAGCACACTTTGATGCCAAGTGACACACTTGGCAGAGCCACAGCAGCACTTCCTCTGCTATCGAAAAAGTGCTCAAACTACTGTTTGCCCCACAGACCACTAGACAAATTTTAACAAGAATATTTCTGGACAAAGTCGAAATGGCACTTGGTACCAGTCTGTCCTCCCCTGACCCCTCCTGATCAGAGGGCCTGATCCACCTGTTCTCTCTCATCTTGCAGCTAAGAGTTTCATCTGGATTCGGGTTCTCTTAAACAGCCTTTGAAAGCATTGATTTGGCCTGGGCCAATCATCTCTCTTCCCCTTTTTATTTCACTGCTGCTGAAACTTTTATCTACTGCTTTGGTGGTATCCTCCTTTCAGCAAGGCAGTAATGATGCTGAGCACTAGAGCACCTACCTTCCTTCCGGTCTCAAAGATTATCTGGGAGTGAGTTGTCATGGAGAAGAAAGAAAGAAAAAAATGGAAACTCTTATTAGCCACTAGCCTAATGACCACAGATGCCCACACCTCCCTGTCCTTGCTCAGATACATCTTTGTGTGGTGGGAGCAAGGGGAGGGGTGTTCCTGCCGGTCATATCACCAGCAGTATTATTAAATTGATTTCTTTTAAAAATTGTCTCTATCTTTTATAATGTGATTCAAACACTTATACTGTGTTCCATAATCCATTTTTATAATACCCATGATTAGGACTTCTGAACTCAAAAGCCAACTTAATTCAAAATTTTATAAAATTGCATAGTGTCTGGATCATAAAAAGTGCAGTGGACATTTTTGTGTGTCTTTGACATTTTACAAAACGTCTTTCCATAAAAGCTAGAGAGCAAAACAAGTTTAGATGATCACAAAGAGGTAGGTTTGGTGGGAGAAGGAAGTTGGAGTAGAGGAGTTGCACAGTGTGAGTTCCATGGAGACAGCATAAAGGGCGTGGTAAAGTACGTTTAGGAAATGCTTCATGTTTTCATTCTTTCTTGGAGATTCACAATTGTACACTGGTACATTAAAGTATCTAAAAAGTCCTATTATAGAGAAACTGGTTTAACTTTGTGTAAGTCCACTGTTTACCAAACTCATTTGACCATAGAATCTTTTTATTAAAAAAATTTCTCTGTGTGTGTATAACATTAATATTCCAAAGACTTGGAATTTGATGAAACATAATTTTGGAAATACTAGAGCGGGACATTGTGGGAAATAAGAACAGAAAAATAGACTAAATGGAGGGAATGAATTCTGGGCTAAGGACCATGGATTTGTTTTACAGGCAGTTGAGAGTCACTAAAGAATTCTGAGCAAGAAAATGACATGACTGAAGCAGTGGTTTAAGAAGATCAGTATGGCTGGGATGTGCCAACTGATTAAAAAAGTGAAAACTCTGGAGGTTGGACTTCCACTTCAAAAAAGATGGAGTAGATGTGCTTTTCCCTATTCCTCCTGATAAGTACAGCTGAAGTCCTTGGACAAAAGACAGACTGGCTCAGGACCTTGGGAGCTGAGGAATGACATGACAGTGTGTTCCCTGGGTTTTCTTCGTGCGTCGTATATCCCAAACTGGGTTCTGGAGTAGCCGGCCAGCAGGTGAAGACTAAAAAGCCCAAGACCTTCTTTGTCTAGCCTTGTTAGTTCCTTAGGGTTGCTGTAACAAATTACCACAAAGTAGAAATGGCTTAAAACAACAAAAATTTAATCTCAAAGTTCTAGAGACCAGCAGTCTGAAATTGGGTATTGGCATTGGCAGGACCCGGCTTGCCCTGAAAGCTCTAGGGGAGATTCTGTTCCTTGCCTTTTCCAGCTTCAGGTGGCTCCAGCCAGTCCTTGTTTTGTGGCTGCTTGTCTCCAGTCTCTGCCTCCATTGTCACATTGCTGCCTCCTCTTTCATCTGTCAAATCCCCTCTGGGTGTGTCTTAACATTTGCCATTGGATTTAAGACCCTTTCCAGATAATCCAGGATAAGCGCGTTTTCTCAAGACCCTTAACTTGGTCACATATTTTGCCATATAAGGTAATATTCACAGGTTTTGGGGATTAGGACATGGATATATCTTCTTGGGGGCCACCATTAAACCCATTACAGTCCACCCTCTGCACCACTCCCCCAAATTCACATCTCTTCCATGTGCAAAATACATTCACCCTGTTCTAACATCTCTAGAAATCTCAACCCTAAATCCAAAAATCTCATGCAGATTTCATCCAAAATTATTATCAGCTCAAAAGTTCTAAATCTCATCATCTAAATCAGGTATGGGTGAAACTCTGGCCATGATCCATCCCGGGGCAAAATTCCTCCGTCTGCAGACCTGTGAAACTGGAAAACGAGTTATCTGTTTCCACAATACAATGGTAGGTTAGGGATATGATAGACATTCCCATTCCAAAAGGGAAAAATCGGGACAAATAAAGGGGTCACCATTCCCAAATAAGTTTGAAACCCAGTAGGACAAATTCCATAAGATTTCAAGTCCTGATAATTCTCCATGGAGGCTTCACCTTCTGGACTCAACAGTTGCTGTCGGCCTCTGAGTCTGCACCTAATGCCTCTGCCTCTGCACCTGTGGCTCTGCCCTCCGTCGTCTTTTTCTTGAAGGGGTAGCACATGTTTGAGGACTAAGGTATACCTGATGGAAGCCATGGTATTTTCAGTCACCTCGTATACGTGCGAAGGCTGGACAATGAATAAGGAAGACGGAAGAAGAATTGATGCCTTTGAATTATGGCGTTGGTGAAGAATCTTTAATATATCGTGGACTGCCAGAAGAACAAACAAATCTGTCTTGGAAGAAGTACAGTCAGAATGCTCCTTGGAAGCAACGATGGCGAGATTCTCACGTACTTCGGACATGTTTTAGGAGGAAGCAGTCCCTGGAGAAGGACATCATGCTTGGTAACGTAGAGGGTCAGCAAAAAAGGAAGACCCTCAATGAGATGGACTGATACAGTGGCATCAACAGTGGGCTCAAACATAGCAACAATTGTGAAGATGGCACAGGACCAGGTGGTGTTTCATTCTGTTGTACATAGGATTGCTATGAGTCGGAACCAACTTGACAGCCCCTAACAACAAGCACATGTTTGCAGTTGAATAGTTCTCTCAGCTCATCTCCTGCCTATAGGATTTTGGAAGTTCAACAGTCTTCTCTCATTTTGTTATGTTTTTGTCCCTTTCAATCCAAGCTGGCAGTGTTTCTGCCTAAGTAACCTTCTCAAAAACCTGTGGGTCTTCTGTGTATGTCAGTGAGGTAGATACCATTAGACAAGAGGATCCTCCACAGATCTTTCCTGGATAACCCCATCTCTATTCCTGGTTTCTGCTGAGATGGTTGGGTGGGTCCGTGAATCACACACCTGATTTCTTCAGCAAAAGGTGTTCCAGCCACACCATTGGTCTTCTTTACAGAGCATGCTTTCTCAACAGTGAATATCTTAATTTTAGCATCCTTTGCAATCTGGATCGGCAGAGAACCTCCCAAATCATAAAGTGCTAGTTCTTTTTTGTTTGCTTCCTCACTTTATCTCTTTCCTCTTGTATTTTAGTATAAGCAGCAAATGGAAATCAGGCCAGACCTTCATCATTTTGCTTAGAAATCTTGGCTAAACATCTAGCTTCATCACTTACAAGTTCTCTTTTCCACACAACTATAGAACAAATTTAGCCAAGTTTCTGCCACTGTATAACATGGAGCATCTTTCCTCCAGTTTCCAAAAACATGTTTCTCATTTCTTCCTGATCCCCACCAGCAATGACTTCAGTGTTCATATTTCTACTGACATTCTGTTCATGGCAGTATATGTATTCTGTAAGATGATAAAAGCTTTCTCTGCCATACTCATCACTTCCTTCTGAGCACTCAGCAAAAAAACAACACACCCACCCACAAAACAAAACCCATTGCTATCAAGTCAATTCCAACTCGTCGCAGCCGTATAGGACAGAGTAGAACTGCCCCACAGGACTCCCAAGGCTGTAAATTTTTACAGAAGCAAAGTGCCACGTCATTCTCCTGCAGAGTGGCTGGTGGGTTCGAACTGCCAACCTTTCGGTTAGTAGCTGAGCACTTCACCACTGTGCCACCGGGGCTCCTCACCGTCAGCATCTTTTACATCCATATTTCTACTAACAGTCTTTCCAAGGCAATCTAGACTTTTTCTGTCGTACACCTCAAAATTCTTCCAGCCCGTGCCCTTTATCCAATTCCAGAGACACTTCATATTTTTAGGTATTTGATACAGCAGCATCTCACTTCATGGCTCCAAAATCTGTTCATTTCCTAGGGCTGCTGTAGCAAATTACCACAAACTAGGTGACATAAAACAACACAAATTTATTTTCACAGTTCTGAAGGCCCAAAACCTGAAACTAAGGTGTTGGCAGGACCACACTTCCCCTGAAGGCTCTAGAGGAGATTCTGTTCCTTGCCTTTTCCAGCATCTGGTGGCTCCCGGCAATCCTTGGTTTGTGGCTGCATCTCTCCAGTCTCTGCCTCCACGGTCACATTGCCTCCTCCTCTTTCTGTCAAATCCCCCCCCCCCCGCCCCCCAGGTACCTGTTATAAAAACACTTGTCATTGTATTTAGGGCCCATCTGGATATTCCAGGATAAGCTCATCCTCTCAAAATCCTTAATCATATATTTTCCATATAAGATAATATCCACCCTTTTGCCATATAAGGTAATATTCATAGGTTCTGGGGGTTAGGAGGTGAACATATCTTCTTAGGGGCCACCATTTAACCCACTACTCTAGCCGAGGACAAGGAAAGGGCAATTTAGCAAAAACAGATAACTTTTAGACAATAACCACTCTACTGTAGCTGAATACCACAGAAAAATATCCAGCAGCTTCACCCTCACCCTTACTATCAAAGGTCAAGCTGGGAGCTTAGACTTCCACACATCAGGCTATAATGAGGCAACGCATATCCCTGCCAGAGTGGTGTCAGGCAAAGCTGAGAGGGGAGTTAGGACTTTGATCTGTACTGGGCAGTAATGAGGCTCTTCTCGTGTGGTGTCCAGTGGTGGCCACATGGAGAACAGTAACGAGCACCTCTCCCAACCAAGGTGCTATCAGTAGAGACGTAGTGGTGAGTCTAAACTCCCGCTTCTTCCCAGCAGTAACAAGGAGCCCTTCTCACCCAAACATCAGCAGAGGTCAAGTGGGGAACCTAGAGCCACTCACACTTGGTAATAATGAGGTGGCACCCTGCTTTCCCTAGAGTGATGTCAGAGGAGGACTTCTAAAACAAAATATTTAAATAAGATCCACAGTTTCATAACATAATACTCAAAATGTCCAGGTTTCAATTGAAAATCACACATTACCCTTGCAAAAATGGCAATGATTAAAAAAAAAAAACAGTAAATGCTGGCAAGGTTGTAGGGGGATTGGAATGCTTATATTGCTGGTGTGGATGTAAAATGGTACAACCTACGGAAAACAGTATGATGCATCCTCAAAAAACTAGAAATAGAAATACTTTATGATCCAGCTATCCCACTCTAGGTATATATCCTAGAGATACAAGAGCAGCAACATGAATAGACATGCACACCAATGTTCATTGCAGCATTTTACACAATAGCAAAAAGATGGAAACAACGTAAGTGCCCATGAATGGATAAACTGAGGTACATACATAGAATGGAATACTACGCAACCATAAAGAATAATGAGACGTCCGTGAAACATAACATGGATGAACCTGGAGGACATTATGCTGAGTGAAATAAGTCAATCACAAAAGGACAACTATTGTATGGTCTCACTTTTATTAAAAAAAGAATAGGTATACGCACAGAAAGCAACATTGGTGGTTACCAGGGATGGGGGTGGAGAGGAAGAATCACTTTCTAGATAGTAGACCCTTGTTATTTTTGGTGATGGGAAAGGCAATACTCAATATGGGTGAAGTCTGCACAGCTCGTCCAAGGTAAATGACACTAAGAAATATGCAAGAATAAGGGAAAATTTTGGTAAATACTGTGGCATACAATTTTGCAACAACAATAATAACCAATAACATAGGTGTGTGGTTACATAGGGAGATGTGTAAGCATATATGTGTATAGGAAGGCACATGTGAGTATATGAGTATGCATGTACAGTGTATCTGCAGGCATATGTATATACATATTTATGTGTGCTGCATATACATTCATAAATACAGGCAGTCTTCAGGTTACAGATGAGATCCGTTCCTAACTGTGTCTTTAAGAATTTGTAGATGAGTCACAACAGGTTCGTGTGGTTCTTATTTACCTTACTTTAGTGCAAGAAAAGGCTCAAAGCCTTTTCAATGATTTAAAAGCTGCAAGTGCAGCAAGTGAAGGTGACTGTGATGAAGAATTTGTTGCAAATAGGGGTTGGTTCAGTCATTTCAAAGCAGGGCTGTGAACCAGTTCTTCCTGGTTCAGTCACCGCTGAGGAAGCTCAAAGGTGGCAGTGCCTTGCATAAGACGGTGGCCAGCCGTGCCACTTTGAATATGTGTGGCTGTCCACAGTCCTGCCAGTAATCCATTCTCATGCATCAGGCTCCTGAAAGGGCTCACTACGCCTCTTCCAAGTCTCCCATTGCAGGGCTCTGACCCATAATTTTTCGTGTTCCAGTTACCATGATGAATCACCCAAGTTGTAAAAATTCAGATCTGTTCGTGTTTTGCTTCATCAGCTATGACAGAACTGGTTCGAAGCCCTGCATTAAACTGCAAGGAGGAGTTGTCTGTAAGTCAGACATTTGTAACCTGGGGACTACCTGTATAAAACCACTTAGGGGACACAGCTATGGATACTACCAAGACAACCAAACACCTTGCGGGATTGGTTTACTGGGTTTGAAGATTTGGGATCATAGTCTCTTGAGATGATCAGTCAGTTAGCATAACATAGTTCATGATGTTCAACATCCTAGGTTGGTGAGTAACGTCTTGGGTCTTAAAAGTTTGTGAGCAACCATCTAAAATAAAGCTATTGATCTCTTCCTGTCTGGAGCAAAGGAGAGTGAAGGAAACCAAAGACTCAGGGAAGATATTGATCCACAGGACTAATGGCCCACAAGAACTGCAGCTTTTTCAAGCCTGAGACCAGAAGAACTAGATGGTGCCTGACTACCACTACCAACTGTTCTGACCGGGGACACAGTAGAAGGCCCTAGTTAGATTCCTAAAAAAGGCTAGACTTACTGGACCAATAGAGACTAGGGGAAACCCCGAGACTATTGCCCTAAGATAATGCTTTGAACTTGGAACTGAAGCAACTCCCAGTGATCACCTTTCATCCAAATTAATAAACTTGCTTATAAACAATATCATCTGTGAATACTGTGCTCCCTTAAATAATCAACTATATGAGAGCAAATGGTCAATATTTACCCTGAAACAAAGATGAGAAGCTAAGGAGGGGAAGGGAAGGTAGATTAATGGAAATAGAACAAAAAAGGATGGAAATAACGAGAATGTTGACACATTGTGGAAAATGTAACCAATGTCATGGAGCAAGTTGCATAAAAATTGTTACATGGGAACCTAATAATGCTATGTAAACTTTCACCTAGAACACAATAAAATATTTTAAAAAATCATTCATCAAACCAAGACCAAGGTTACACAGATACTGAAAATATCTAATAAGGATTTTGAAGCAGCCTTCTTAAAAATACTTCAGTGAGAAATTACAGAGTCCCTTGAGACAAATGAAAA